CCTGTTCGTATGATTAGTGTTCTTTGTAAGATTTTCGAGAAAAAGAAAAATCTCAACAATCGGTTATTACGCAGAGAGTTCCCCTTTCGATGATTTAAGTAGCAACGGTCTCTCCCGGGATTACGAAGAGCATCTCCGCGATGCACGGACCTCACGTCGTTCTCGGGGTTCTCAGCAGCGGAGCTATCCCGAGTTCCTTTTGAACTCCCTCCACGTGTACAAGGGACGTCGCTGTCCCCGAGGACACTCACCCGCTTTCGGAGTGCGGCTTCCTACACCGTGTGCGCATCTCGTTTTTCATAGCGGCCACCAACTTGAGCTTCCGATTCCCTGTTATCATGTCATGCGTCACCCCGAGCTAGAAGTAGTCTCTGCCACCAGATTAGGGCCGCTGGGCTCTGCCGTGATGGCTGGGAAGACACAGACGCTAGAACGCTTTCATGCCCAGGTAACAGAGAACCTGACCCAACGGGGCCTCAGCGACGGCACACCAGCCATGGCACAGGAGAGGGCTGTCCCGTGGCTGGTCAGTGCAGGGGCCGCCCGGGCCTGCAGCGTTGGGCCCTCGGCCAGCTCCGCCCGTGCTCACCCACCGCCATGCGCGCCCGGCCTCAGCAGCAGGAGGCCCCGCAGACGGTCCTCTGCTCCATGGCCACCGTCAAGTCCCCTGCTCCCATCTACACCCGTCGCTGCAAAGGAGGTGGGCGGACCTTGCTGGCTTGGCCCAGGGGCTCCAGCGTGCCTGCATATCCGAACCACCTGGGGGTCCTGTCGAAGTCCGAAGCCCAGGGCAATGGGTTCAAACTCAAGGGTGGGGTGCGCCTTCGGCACCAACACCACGACCGCCACTAGAGGGCCTGCTGGAGCAAACTGGCTGTTCCCGCCTCCGGTCACACAGGAGAGGCCCAATGGCAGCCCCTGCCCCCACTGCGCCACGTCCAGCCCAGGCGCATCGGGCTTTGGGTCCAGCCTGGGCAGTGTTTATAAAGACTCCTGGGTGACTAACATGTGCAGGCAGGAAAAGGTCCCCTGAGGGAGAGAATAAGAGTTTATGAGGGTGAAGTCCAGGGTGGTCAGTTTACCCGGCTATCCCAGACGGGCCAAGTCGAGTCACTCCTGCCCCCCAGGAAAACAAGGTCTCTGAGCTGGTTTGGCTGGTTCTCTGCTCGCTCTATGCCAGGTGAGCTCTTCAGTCACCTCTACGCGAGTGACAGGGCTTTCTCCACGTTGTCCTCCGAAGCGGATTCATTAAAAGGGGACCGAGCGCCCACCTGTCTCTGTTTAAAGCCTGCATACCCTGCTCGAAGATAGAAATTGTATTCTATTTGCTGTGCTTATTTTTCGTTTTCTATACGTGAGCTGTGCGATTCATTTTCCTAGAAAGTGCGTTTTCCATTAACTACGATGCAAAAGCCATCACGGGTGTGTCGTGCAGAAATGCTTCAGCTAGTCTAGCTTTCTGTCCCCCCATCCCCCACCCCCCGCCGGGAGGCAGAGCTCATAGGTGCATTGCTTATGAGGCCCGGGTACGTTTTGTCACACGTCGAAAGATCACAACTGGCTATAAAAATAAGACGGTGAATGAGACACCGCAAACGCCGTCCACATCTGTGAAAGGCGTTTTCGAGGCCAGGCTTCTCGTTAGAGGGGCACGCGGAGCATTCTGATTGTGTGCAGCTGGAGGCACGCGCACCCCCAGGGACCGTTAGGGTACGGCACGCTGTCCCCTTGGCTGCGTGCAGTCATCACCGGGGGGGCCGCTAAGTCCCACCTGCAGCCCTGCTGTGAACTGTGATAGTTCGTATGATTGGGAGTCATCGCTTGGCCATGAGGCCCGTGTCACTAAGAGAGTGAGCTGGCTCCTGGGACGGCGGAGAAATCTGGAAATCACTAAGAGAGTGAGCTGGCTCCTGGGACGGCGGAAAAATCTGGAAATCTCGGTGTGGGCTTCTGCCACGCTCAGGAGCACACGGCTGAGCTCCGGTCTGTGGTCAGGGCCACCGCAGGACGCTGCCCAGAGTGCTCTTATTCTCGGAAGATCTGTCACGTGAGGGACACATGCTGGCCTGTTAAACAGGTGACCCCGTTACACGGGGCCCAGAAACAGCCCGCTCTTGCACGCATCCGCGTGAACGGCCGGGCGTGCTGGGCAGGGCGTGGCGGGGGCTGGCGCTCAGAACCGCGTGTCTGGCGTGTCTGGTGACGGCGGGGCCAGGCCCTGGAGCCCCGCGGCGTCCCCGAGCGGGCATTTCTGAGACCGTGTTTCTGACTCTGACGGTGAAAGTCTCCACGCTCCGTCTTCCTGATTCCAGAACGGATCCTGAAATAAGGCGAGATCTTCGAAGCCAGGGAGGTTTAAGCTTTAGAATAACATGAGAGCAATTTTGAAAATTCCTTTTACCATTTTGTGAAGAACATTTCGGACCTGCAGCCGGGTTTAACGAGCGTTCACCCTTTTTCCACCTATAACTTTCCCAACCAAAAAACCTGGAATTTTTTATATGTAATATGAAAACGATATTTAATTCAAGGGTTAGTTGTCATTCCGATGGGAGGGCCCCTTTGTGTAAGGCGCGTTACTGAGTTCGTTCACCAGGAGGATGACGAGCTTGAGTCATGACCATGCTGTGGGCAAAGTCGTGTTTGTTTGAGACCAGTGCTCTTTGAAGTGTGGCTCAGAGGACAGTCCCAGCCTGAAACTCTGTTTCTGGTCTACATAGGTCTGGAAATTGTGGGGAAGCGTTTGCAGCTTTTACCATATGTGGGCATTGCTGCCCATCCAAGTGCACGGCCGTTTTTTATTATACTTTTATTATCTTTTAGATAGTGTATCGGTCAGCAACACACTGGGGAACACAGAGTCTGTCACTGCAGATAGCGTGAGAAGTGCTCTCTGTACCGACCATCTGTGATACTGCCCCTCAGGACATTTGTCCAGAGACAGTTTGAGTCATCACAACTTGGGGGGAAGTGAGGTGTGCTGCTGACATCTAGTGGGTGCACAGGACAGCTCCCCAAGACAAAGAGCGAGCTGTCCCCAAATGTGGCGCTAAGGCTGAGAACCCGTCCTGGGCCACATCGGGGGACACTCTGTAGGCTGCTCTGTGCCTTGTCCAAGGATGGTGTCACATGGGTCCCACCAGCGTGCAGGCTGGGGAGGGTCCAAGACTTCTGATGGGAGCTTTCCTTACACTTGAGGCTCCATGTTCCACTTTGGGAATTGAGAGATGTTCTGCAGATGGAAAAGTTGGGGGGTTAAATGACTTCACCCCAAATTCTTGGAAACTATAACACAGCCCTTTTAGTCAGAAGCCGCCTATTTCAACTTTGCCAAAATTTGTCACGTGTTCAGCCGAGAAGGTCAGCCACTTGGCAGCTGAGAAAATGGGAAACTAGAAATAAAAAAAAAACAAAAGTTTCTGTTTATTTAGAAATTTTATATTTGGGAAATTCATACCAAATCTCTGGTTCGCGAGGTTTTTAAGATTTTCTTTTAAATTTAGAAACAGGAAATGATCGTCCAGCCAAAGCCATCATTCTTGCGAACTCCAGTAAATATTAATAGCTGTAAATACGTTAAGCTAGAGAAAGTAACCCCATGAAATTAATTTGGAAGCGAAGATCATTTCTATACCCAACGCGCTCGTGCGTGTCTGTGACAGAGAGCGACAGAGGCCTGTTCCTGCGTGTTTCCTGCTTCGCGCGTTTCTTCTCTCGAGCTGTATCTGACATCCGGTGGCTCGCGCGGAAGCTGTTTCATGACCAGCGAGGACGCCCTGGCCTGTTACAGCTTTGAGCAAGACAGAGAAGGGTTTGTCCACCACGCGGGCTCACATAAGACACCAGCGGAGAAGCCTGTGGTTCGCCCACGAATCGAACCTGCTCTTTAGCGAACTGTTCATTCAAACTACCGAGGGCTCTGGCAGCGCTTTCTTTTCGTGGATTACGAATTTTCCTTAATTCTTTTGGGCTCGGACCGGCACTGTCGTGCCTGTTTATTAAGCATCAGTCTGCGACTTCCTGACGCCGCCGGCCTTGAGCGCTGACAGCACCTGGAGAAGCTCATTCGTTAGGTCCCCTGTGTCCATGTGATTGTGGCCTGATGTGAAGAGAACCACGGTGGCCGCGAGGCCCGCGGTGCGGAGATGCCACCCCCCCCCGCCCCGTGACCGTCCTCGGCTGCGGGAGTCTGTGCGGTGACGGGCAAGCTGCTCTTCCTCCTGGCACACCGTCGTTAGCTAAACTAAGAGGAAGCCTCCAAAAAGTTTCTATTTCAAGGAACCTCGACATTTCAGACTCTGAGATTGATAAAAAATGTGGCTGATTCTACAGAACCCGCTAGAATGATGTTGAGATTTATTCATTCAGTTTACATTGGCAAAGATATAACATTTGGAGTTAGTTCTTTCGTATAGATGGGCATTAACAGCACAAAAATAAGACTTTTTATTTGTTACCTCAGAAAGTACGGGGCGTAGGGCTCCATAAATCCTACCTTCTGAATGAATTCCACCAAATGCTGTTTAATTAAAGTTGGACTGATTAGACACTGATTAACTCCGCCTTTGACAGATTACACGGTTTAACTGACATAGAGATTGCCTCCATTTGGTGACGAGTCCCCAGTTACGATGACAAAGGACAAGCTATTTGTCAGTTAAACTGTGTAATCATTCAGAAATAGCATTAATCAAGAACCTAATCATTTTGTCTCTAGTTAGATCCAGCTAATGAGTTAAAACGTGTAATTTCTAGTACATGCTGTACTCCGAAACAGTGTCACATAAACAATGTCCATGACGCCTGACCAAATCGGATCTGGCGCCCGTATGAACGATTTGCCATGGAGGGAAAATTAGACATAATCAGCGCTGAAGCAACGACAGGGTGTGAGTTCTCTGTGGGGGGCCAGGGGGGGCTTTGGGGGGTCAGTGGAATCCAGACTCCTGCATGCGCCTCGCGCCCCGTCCCTGGGCTCACGGTGTCTCCGTTGCCTGCAGGAGAAGCCGTACACGTGCTCGGAGTGCGGCAAGGCCTTCAGCCAGAAGCGTGGCCTGGAGGAGCACAGGAGGACGCACACCGGGGAGAAGCCGTTCCAGTGCGACGTGAGTGGCCCCCGCGCCTTTCCCGGGGCCCTCTGTGTCCCTCATGCCTGTGCCCTTTGCAGCCTTTGATGCACGATCGGTGTGAACGTGCCGTCGTAATTGCATCCGTCCCGGTGAACTGGCAGCACGTCAGCTCCGATTTTCTTGAAGACGTGCCGGCAGCCCGTCTAACGCACCTGAGTTCTTCCAAGGCGTGATGAGTGCAGGCCATGCGAGGCTGCGCCCCGCCGTCTGCCTGGGCCCCTGACGGGCCACAGACAGTTAAACCAGAGAGGTAGCTGCTCATAGATTTTATTTATTCTGTTAAAGCCAAACAGTGAATTTCTAAAACATGCATGAACGCCTTCATTTACATGACACTACTGTTAATCGTTTATAGTTTAAGTTTAGGACATCTGAACGGAAACTATTGAAGTAGTTGTTTACATTATTTACGAAAGGAGAAAATACTACTATTTTCAGAAAAATAAACCTGAGCGTTGATTAATTCAGGGAACAAATTGGTTTCTCAATGAACAGTGTCACCATTCCCTTGTGGAATGGTGACAATTGATAGAAAATTGACACAGGCGTTTGGGAAAACCCTCGGATGCTTATTCTAAAACGAATAGAGCGAAGAGTGATAATGTCCTCGGCGTAGGGGACCTCAGAGCCGCGACGTGGGGCCGCACGGCACAGAATTTGCGTGTTGCCGGAGACCCTGGTCGTCAGCCCCACTGCCGTATCCCAAGGGACAAAGTATGGGGCGAGCCGTCCACGCGAAAGGAAGCTCAGCACACAAGATGTGTTCCTTGTCCTTCTGCGAAGCTTCTGTGGGGAGGCCAAGGCCACAGCGGCTTGCTCAGGACAGGGCCCTCGTCGAGCTGCTCGGAGGGGCGGACATGTGCGGGACGGCTCCGTCCACGACCGCAGAGCCGCTGCTGGTCATCGCCGCCTCCCTGTCCGGAACCGAGTCGCCAGGCGCGAAGCACGCAGTGGAAAACGAGCGACTGAGTCGCTCACGTCCGGACTGATTCTGGCTTGGAGGGGACAGTAGTTCTGGCCTCCCTGACGCCGGTTTCACACTCTCTTGCTCGCCGACTAAATACTTTAGTTCAGTCTCTACTTTGGGTCCTTTATGTCACCCCCGCCACCTGCAGAGTGTACTCCCAGTTTCTTACTGTGATCGCCAGGGTCCCCAGGATGGGGCCCAGCCTTTCCCAGTAGCTGGGGGACGGGAGGGCGGTTGGGGTGCAGGGACACACGTTACACGCAAATAACTCTCGGGGAGTATAGTTAATTTTCTGTACCCTTTCGTCGGGATGTTAGATTCCATTCGTGTCCAGAGCAGCTTCTGTTCTGGGGCCTGACGGTACGTCCTCGAGGACAGGGCCGGGTGCGGTGTCTGTCGCGGAATGGTGAGTGGGTTTCAGTAGGATCTGACTGGAACCTCTGGCTCTTTTCCAGGTTTGCGACTTGGCCTTTAGCCTGAAGAAGATGCTGATCCGACACAAGATGACCCATAACCCCAATCGTCCGCTGGCCGAATGTCAGTTTTGCCACAAGAAGTTCACGAGGAGTGACTACCTCAAGGTGCACATGGACAACGTCCACGGCGAGGCCGGCAGCTGACCGCGCTGGGGAGCGCGGAGCCCGGGGTCCTCTCCTCCGCCCGGGTGGCACACGGCGGCAGCCCTGTCACTCTGGTCCCGCTGCTCTTCTCTGCCTGCTTTAGAGTCTGTAGGTCCAGATGCAAAAAGAAAAAACAATCCCACTTTTACCAAGAAATGGTACGGATGGAAAAAAAACGAACATCGTAGCCTTGCAGGTGCTTCTCGGCACGGTCTCGCAGAAACGGACAGGGCCGGACTCCCCCGGGCCGTCTCTCTGCACCCGAGTTTAGTAATGGTATCTTTTTCGGGCCTTTTCATTTCATTGTTATCGTGCATGCTTCTGTGTGCACACACGCTGGTCACTGTGACTGGTCATCACCGATTAGGCCGTGAAGAGATTCACGTATCCTGATATCTCACCGATATCTTGAGCACGAGAACAGCATCGAACTTGCTGTTTTGTGAAACGGACCGAAAGCTGACCTTATTTAACGGCTCCCCGCAATAAGTCGGTTTAAAATGAAGCAATATGTAGGAACAGAAACACCTATTAAGGTATCGCTCGTTTTCAATAGTTCTTAGGAAGCATTACTTGCTTTCACCCTTCAGACGCAGACATTCAGGGTCGGGAAAAGGTTTTTAAGATCTACCCCAAAGTGACCATAACACTTAGATATTTACCAGACGGATCCTGCCGAGTCGATACTAGTCTTTGGAAATTTGCAACATACGAGGACGTAGCGCTGGAAACGGAAGCAGGCCGGGCACGGCGGTGACATTGCGATGGGAGTCGTGACGAACCCAGCCCCTCCCCCGCCGTCCCGCAGAGTACACGGGACGTGTTGCTGCCAACAGAACACAGTCCCCAGAGCAGTCGTGTTCTGTTTGCAAGAGACGGTTTCCAGAATCGTGTCAGGAGCTGACGCCGAAACGCTTTCAAAGCACCGTCAGTTATCCCGAATAAAAAAACGCAGACCCGCCCACCGTTAGGATTGAAATCATCACTGATGCTTAAGGGAAATTGAAGCAAGAAGCATAGTTTCTTCCTTTAGCTTACATTTCATTAAAATATTTGGAGCGACATAGAATGAATAGCTTGTTTTGGGAGAAGATATGAGAAAATGTGACGGTGATGTCAAGTCACATAGAGGAACCCAAAAACAAAAAAATGAAAGTGAAGCCTCTAAATAAACTGTCCTATTTGGAGCCCACCCCAGACAGAAGTGCAATTCCGAGAAGTTACTTGGTTCTAATGATTTGGGGAGAGGTTATCTGGAGACACAGTTCTTTGAAGCCAGGAATTGCATTTTAGAATTACATTCATGCTCAGTTTCAGTTAAAACAAAACAAAACAAAACAAACCATAAAGATCCAATATAGGTATTTAAACTCTGTAAAAAATACCAAATTTGAAACGCACCAGAGATAACTTTAAAAAATATAAATCCCCAGATTTTGATTTAGAAGGTATCTGTGGTTATATGTAGCATTTTGTATGTGAAATTACAGACGGTGTTTTATAAGAATGGATCTGGGTCTTGTTTCTCATTGTGTCATCTGTTTCAGCGGTTTATTTTTAGATCTAAAGTGTTTTCGGGGTAACTCGTGCCTTCTATCCTTTGAATATAAAAGGACAGCTGTTCGGTGTGGTGGGTGCGTTGTTCAAACCCGTCCGCTCTCCTTCCTTCTCTAGATGGGACGCGTCACATCCCGCTTGCGGGACGAATGTGAAACTTGAGAGGAAGCCAAACTCCACTTTCGTGTGGTCTCTGACTCAGAATGGACAGGGCTGCTGGAGAAATCACCCCCGAAACCACATGGTCACCGTGCTGTGGAGTAAGGTGGCCAGGAGTGGGTGCTGGGCCTCCTCGGCCACGGGTTTGTGACGCAGGAAACCGGGAAGAGGCTGTGGGGGGCTCGCGGGCACGCACGGCATCCTGTCTTCAAGGCACTGACACCAGAACAGGCCTTCAGATGACCCGTGTGCTCGCCTTCCAGACAGGTGTTCCCTTCCGGGCATTTCGTGTGCATGTGTGTGTGTGTGCGCGTGTGTGTGCGCCGCACCTTTTCGATCCCGTAGCGATAACAAAAACAACGATTTTGGGGTTTGATTGAGAAATTAAGAGCATAAATAGTCATGGAGAGAAAGCTTACGGGCAAGTGGGGTACAGGCACCCACTACGAAAGGGGCTGGCTCAGTGCCTTCCTAGGAAAAGGGCGAACTCGTGGGGACCCATGAAGTCAGAGCTAAGTGACTGAAGAGGCATCGGACGCCTTCCACAATGATTAGCTGTGAATGTTAACATTCGGGGCCTTTGCGTACACTGAATTCTTGTTTCGCAGTCACGGGCTTATGTCATTGTCCTTCCCTTTCCTCCTCCTCCTCCTCCTCCTCCTCTAGTCGCCGGCTACAGAGAGCCCTTCATTGATTCATTCTGACCAGTAGCTATACTACAGCACGAGCGTGCTCGTCGGCGATGCGTTTTTGGGATTGCGGGGGACGGTTAAAATGTTGCTCTTAAGAAACACAGCCTATACTGTGTGTGTGCGCGTGTGTGCATGCGCGTGTGTGCGTGCGCACGCGTGTGTCTGCAGAGGGTCACGTTCACGTTGTGTGTGTGCGTGTGTGTGTGTGTGCATGTGTGTCTGCAGAGGGTCACGTTCACATCGATGCTTATCCAGGCAGGCCCATTGCTTTGCTCCAAACTCCTGTGACCGCTGCGGCCGACGCGAGTAGGTGAGCTCGGACCTCAGAGGTCTGACGGCCGAGTTTGCGCAGCCGCCTCTCCCAGACCTGGAGGGGTGGCAGGGACGGGCGGCAGCCGCCGGAAACACTCATCTTTTCCTTCACGAGTCTGAACGTTCCTTGTGAAAACGCGTCTGGGGCTGTGAGTCTGTGGAGTTGAGTAGGGGGAGGCGCGTCTTCAACGCTGTCATTTTACCCTTAATGCTGAGGTTTCTTCGCTCGTGCATCAATGTAGCATTGATGTAGCCACAGTCTGGAGGAGTCCGTGTAAACCACTGTCTCAGTCGGCGTCAGCATCGTATTTTACCATGGAACTATAGCCGGCACGGGTCTGCGATCAAGTCCAAGTGAACGTTTCAAAGTCGTTTCGGATGAAAGGAGGTAAATGTAATTGCCATTACTCCCAGGCCTCGTGCTTTTAGAATTTACTTCGAAGCATTTCTAGATGGGAAATTTCCCAGAGTTTGGCCAAGTTGGTCTCGGGGCGATAGGAGGGAACTTCTGGTTTACAGCTCATCTCATTCCTGGCGACAAATGAACAGCGCGTGAAAAGGACCATCACCGAAAACGAGATTCGCAGGAGCTTCTCCGAGCAAGAACGCCGACGTTCGCCAGCATCGTTGAGGGCGACAGGATGTTTCAGGCGCTGCTTTTCCTTAGAGGTGTGTCATCATCTTGGCCTTGGCCCGATCTTGTGAGGCGTCCCTGATTCAAAAAGTCATCATCGCGAGCCTCTGAGGAGCAGATCTGGAAGCGACGCCTTCACTTAACTGACCTCTCGGAATCAGCAGAGGCACAAGGTCTTCGGAGCCGACCTCACAGCACTGACTACCTCGGCTCAGCATGATTTTATGATCCAGGTTGTTAATTTGCTGTGTGGCAGAATAAAAAATTAACTGTGGAGCCTTCAGTCCGGGCCACGTGAGAATACTCTAGATTTCCTAGGCCCGTCAACTGGTTCAGACTGTAGCAGGCTCTTTTATTAAAATGGTGCTGCTGATCCAGTATCCAAGTTCATTGTCTTCCTTTAAAAGATTCCCAAGATGATACTGTGAAACAAATGTTTATATTTGTTACTGAATAAGCTACCTAACTGTTCGATGGCACACTTAACTTCCCAATTCTGTCAATACTGAGGCGAGGAGAATAAGTTTTTAGTCCTTGGGCCCATGCCAACTTGGCATATTACATAGTAGGAGAAAACGAAGATTTTAAGTAATGTTGATAATTTATATACTGAAAATTGAGAAAAGATGTAGAATCACTGGAACCTGGCCCTCCAAATTAATATAAAATATCGCCGTTTCCGACAACACTGTAGACTTACAGGGGCAAAAAAAAAGTTACAAAGCACACACACACACGCACGCACACACACACACACACACACACATCCATTAGCCTCTGCTACATGGGATAAAAACAGAGTCCCAGCTCACGGTAGACACTGGAATGGCTTCATTATCCAATTTTGTCCCGGAGAACGTCAAACAACGCTCTACGCTCCGGTCCTCAGAGTTAACTTTTCCTGGTATCTTTTTCATAAGGTTTGACTTGCATATCTCCCCCCGGCTTTCTCCTATGAACACATCTGTAAACGTGTAAACTTCACGTGTGTCTCTAATTAACAGCCTATGGTAAGATCTGACATCTTCAGTCCCGGGTGACAGTGCTGGGTGCTTGTCAGTCCGTGGTAGGTGGTGGGTACGTCCTACCATTCCTCAGTGCCACCCAACCTCTGTGTGGGTGGCCGACGGGCATCTGTACAGGTTCAGAGACCAATATGTTCATTACCCCGAACACGTGAGTCAGCACCGACGTGCAAGTCTGATTAAGACCTGACACTGCGGACACAACCCAAGGCCCTTCGTCTGGCTCTCTCTGACCAGAGGCAGCTGCTGACACACAACTTAATGCAAAAGACAGTCCTCGAAAAGTACCGCAGAGGCCTGGGCCCCGTGGACGCACGCACGGCTGCCGAAATCGGGCCGAAGGCACCGATGTTGCTGGATGTCATTCCTGACACTATATGTCCTCCATTGGTTCTCGATGCTTGATAAAGCGACCCGTCAACAAGAAGGTGCATTGTCCCCCAACCCTATTTTTTCCCTTTCTAAAGTAAGTATTAGCCTCCTGGGACCTGAAATTGCCTTGGATGGACAAAGGAGGTCTGAAATGAACTTTTACGGAATCGAAGCAGACTGTAGAGTTCCTGTGCTAAGCAGGGGACACGAAAGCATGGCGCCAGGGAGCGACACCACATTTAACTGATCCTAAAACGTTTATTTAAATTGCAAATGGACGAGTCTTATGGAATACATGTAGTAATTGAGAATCCTGAAGAATTAGATTGTGTGGAAATGAGCTGTGGCTTCCTCTGTCTTCAGGCCATCGTTATCACTGCAAAGCGGGAAGTCCTCTCCCGACCTTCTCGCTGATCACGTGCCACTAAGTAGCCGCCGCAGCCCACGGCCGCCCCGCCGGGCAGAGTGCGGGAGCAGCAAGGCCGCCTCCAGCCTTGCCCGCCATCGCGTGGCGCTCGCTCCTCCTGCCGGCCCACGTCCCCACACCTCTGTGTGACCTCCACGCTCACCTCCAGCTGGGTTTTGAGAGTGACAAGTTGGCATTGCTCCCGGCCTCAAACTATGACGTGTGGGATGTTAGGTTCTATCCTTTCTGCTCTGAGTGTAAAATGTGAAGTTGGGGCAGACGAATTTAGCTGATGAGGGTATTAGCAGACTACGTATTTGAGCTGAGCCAATTGGCTTTGTACCGAGAAAAAGGACCCCCTAATTTCCCGAGTTGCAGGTCTCACCCCAACCTCAGCGATCCCGTGAAGGGTGTGTGGTCTCCTGCTGACTGCAGATCTCAAGGACAGGCGGCCCCAAGTCGTGAGGATGGGAAGAGGACCTCAAAACGCGTGTCCCCCAGACGGGAGTCCAGCAGCACCCTCCGAAAAAAACGGATAAGTGGGAATTCAAATTTCAGATAAGAGAATGTATTGCAAGGTAAGAGCTCAGGTCCCTTTCCTAAGGCTGACACGGTACAGCCAGATTTCAGGCTGACCCTTTGTCTCCCGAGCTCTGTATCGCTCCTCACTGCATTGACCACATCACGCACGACACCAGTTCTGAGTCTGAACTGGATGCATACGCGTCTGGACAAGGATGTGCCCTTCTAAACATCCGGTACACTCAGTGCCCCTTTAAAGGAGGGATTTATAACTTGGGTGTAAGAACATATGATGGTGCATAATAGTCATATTCACTGAGTAATTTAAAACTACTGTTTGATTACACCAAAATTAGCTGAGTCAGAAAAATAAGTACAATGTATTTAGGGAGGGGGTGGGTAACTGTTACCAACTTTAACCAAAGTCACTGGCTTTGAGATGAGTGTTATATCAACTTAATAATCAAAGATAAATCTTTGATTATTGAAATATCTAATTAATAGTATATTTCCACATTTTGCCTCCTTTATAAATAACATTGTAGCTTGTTTCCCAGATGATCTGTTGCAAATACACACATATACCATATGGTATTTTAAATATACATACAAATATGAAATGAACAGCACACAACCAAATTTCATGTTTCAATCAGACATAAGATAATCAGTTTTAGGCACGAAATGTCCTATGCACTATTGCTGATGATCTTCTGGGGGAGCACTCTGACAAAGGTACAGGGTAACAAATCACTGAGAATTTAGTCACAAAATATATTTTACCTGAAACTCGAAGCTCTGTAAGTTTGCAGTTCTCTCATACTCGGAAGGAAGGAAGGAAGGAAAAAGGAAAGGCGAACGGAAGAGAGAAAAGATAAGAAGAAAGGAATTAAACCTATTTTAAGCATGAAAAAGTCAAGAGGCGGAAGCTATGTTTTCCCATTTATCGAAAGGGAAGGATCAGCATAAGAAAAATGGAAAGACCATGAACGTGGATAGGTGAGACACCTGGACCATCGTTGACCAGCTGGATGATGTCGAGTTCCTCAATAACGAAATGGACTTGATACTATCTACCTGTTTGTTTTGTGCGAAATGAATCAGAAAATGCACATAATTCTGCAAATGATCCTTTTTCTAATTGCTTCTGGTAGAAGCTTAAAATACTGATCTGAGACGTTTCTCTAAGAGCATTTAATGCTGTAAACTCCCCCTTGAATACGCCTTAGCTGCATCTCACGAATTTTGATGTTTTATTTTTAATCCGGTTCAAAATACCTGCTAATTTTCTTTGAGACTTACTTTTGGCCCGCGGATTACTTAGAAGTGTATTGATTCCTTTCTAAGTACTTGAAGATTTTCCTGTTATCTTTCTGTCGTTTTCTTGTTTAATTCTATCATGGCCAGAAAAATACTTTTCGAGATTTCGATTTTTAAAAATAATGTTTGTTTTATGATCTAGGAGATGATCTACCTTGAAGAATGTTCCATGTGCACCGTGTTTCGAAGGTCCGTTGTTGAGTGCATCCTCGTTTAGAATGTTCGATGTTGAATGGACTCGTTTTATGATGTAATACCCTTCTTTATTTCTTAGAACTCCACCACCAGCTTTTCTGTGTCTCCAGTTTGCAGACAGCGGATTGTGGGACTTCTCAGCAAATGTAATGAATACACGCAATAAAAAATCTAACGCATATAATAAATCTAACAGATCTCTTAGATCTCTCTCTCTCTCTCACACACACACACCCCCCGATTTCCTCTTAGTTCCGTTTCTCTAGAGAACCCCGGTTAATGCGCGTTCCGGTCCTTTGCGGAGAACCACACACACACACACACACACACACACACCCATTTCCTCTTAGTTCCGTTTCTCTAGAGAACCCAGGTTAATGCGCGTTCTGGTCCTTTGCCGAGAAGCCCGTTTCCATGGTTTCGGCGGTGTTCACGACTCCCCGCCGTGTGAGGCTCCCACGTCCGTGTCACTTGGCATCGGCATCGGTTTGTTTTCTCTTCTCTCGTGAGCTGAGCTTCTCCTGGTTCTTTGTCTTGTAATTTTGGATCGTCTCCTGGACATTTTGAACGTTATGAGGCTTTGGGTCTTGCTTCGCTCCCGCGGAGAGGCCGACATTCTTGCCTCCGCGGGGAAAGACAGGGTCGGCTGCGTTCAGGCCACACACTCCGGTCTCCTGTTGGCAGCAAGTCCGGTGTCAGCTCCGATGCAGCGTCAGGCCCTTCGCGGCGTCTCCGCGGGGCCGTGTGGCTCCATCCCGCACGCGCGGCACCGGTGGTCGGTCCAGGGCCTGGGCGGTTCGCGCGTTGCCAGTTCGGTTCTTGGCATCGTCGGCGTGCCAGGCAGGGCGGGACGGACACGCGTAGGGGCGGGATGGGCGCGG